TCTGCCTAATTCACTTACTTTCTACAAATCAGCCCACAATACTCCAATTCTAAGCAAGATTAACTTCTAGAGAAAAATTCCAACTACACTACATTTCTACAAATCGCCCTGGAATTCCCGCACAGGCCACCAATTGTCCCATCTCACGACTAAACACTCAAGGTCACTCCAGGTGAACTGAGCTGCACAAAATAACCACACAGAGACAGAGAAATGACTTTTTCTTTGGGTCCTGTGATGGCTCCTCTGACCTTAGGGATCGGTGAAGAGAGAGAAAAAGAGAGAGGAGAGGAGAGAGGGAGACACACACACACACACACACACACACACACACACACACACACACACACACACACGGAGAGATCACCTGCTGAGCGCTTTTATGGGGAAAAGCCATTCAAATGAGGCAAGGGGTCAGCTGTCAGCAGGTTGACTGACATCTGGGGAGGCCACGCCCATCTCATGAGCTGTGTGGGGACCATGGCAGAGCAAGCAAAAAGACCAGAGGGAGGCCCCCTACAGAGAAGGGCCACATGGGCTCAGTCCACCCTGTGCGCTCAGTGCCCTTGGTTCTCACACACAGCCCAGGGCTGGCTGGCCACATGTCCACACTCTGGTCACTCAAGGCTCAGGGGCGCTGGGTTCCTATGTGGCAGCTCCTGACACCCCTCCCCTCAAAAGGTGAAGCGCTGGTCTTAGTGAGTCTCCATTATTTCTGTGCGTCTATGTTAGAATCCCCTTGGGTGACGTGTCCTGCTGTGGCCCACGGCCCCATGGCCCTGTGGGTGGCACAGGACCTCAGCATGTAGGTACTCATCTGCAGTATCCAGATGAAGTGGTTGGGAATGGCATTCCTGGGAACTGTGCAGACAGTGAGAGGATGGACTAGGAGACTCAGGCTCCTGATGGCGCAGGGGCAGTGGGGCAGGAAATGGGGGTCTGGACACCAAGACCCTGAAGCAACACTTGATTAGTGGTTGCACAGCCCAGAAGGATGTTCCCAAAGTCTGAGCCCCGAGCAATGCACGGATTTCACTTTTATACATAAGCTTATTTTGGGTACATCAAGGCAACGGAGTTGGTGCCTTCTATTGAGGGCAGAGTGTCCACTCCTTTCTGGTGCAAGCTTGGTCACAGCCTTGGGACTCTCAGTTCAAGCAGCTTAGGGTCTTTGACTGCACTGAGCTTGGAGGGACTGTCCCCATTGCTTGGTCTCCTGCCTCTGCTGCTGTGGTTTTCTTCTGCAGGTGTCTGTTAGCGACCGAAGTCTCTGTGGGTGAACAGCAGTAACCAGGGCTGCTGGGCCAGCAGAGGAAGCCAAGGGCTGTCAGCGCTCAAGTTAATCTGCCCAAGTTCCCATTTCCCAGGATTGGCGGTGCAGACTGTCTCAGGCCGACCCAGAGGCTATTCAGCCAAGGGAACTGGAATGGTGACCAGTCACCCAGGGAGCTTAGACTCCAATACCTCCATGCAAAACTGGCAGGAACTCAGACCAGGTGCTCAGAATGCGAATTCCAGGCCCAAACCAGCTCAGGAATTGAGCAGATGCCACTGACAGATCCAAAATGAGCCCAGAGACTTGGAGAATCTGGCATGGAGGTCTGGCTCCCAGGCCAGGTGGCCTGGTGTCATTACAGATCAGAGAGGCCAAAAAGAGTCCATGTCCACCTCCCCCAGCCCACTGAATGGCAGGGACAGTGGCTAGGAGAAGACCAAGGAGCAGAGACAGACTGAGCTCAGGTGGGAATGAGCTTTGCTGGGGGTGGTTCAGGTGCGAGAGGCCACAGCTTCCCAGCTCCCTTCCCCTCCCCTCCCTGGGGATGGGAGGAGCGGGGCAGGCCGAGGGACAGAGAGGTCAGGACTGCAAACTGCAGTTGCCTGCCTGGCCAGAGACAGGCTGTGCCCCACCACCCCCACTCCTCTCCATCACTGAAGCCAGATTTACAGATAGGTAGGTAGTTAGGGTAATTAGGCAAATGGAGCCTAATATAGAGTAAGATAAAAAAAAAATGGAGAGCATTATGGAGAAAGGAGTCCAGGAACCAGAGCAGCACTTGGGGATATTGAAATGTTACTGTCCCCAAGGCCTGGAACCCATCCTAAGGGACTGTTCATGAAGCAGCTCCCAGCAAACAGGGAGGTGCTCAATTACTCCTCCAGCCCACCTGTCCCCACCTTTTGGCCTTCCCACCTGCATTCTGTCACTGCAGGATAGAGGGAAGCAAAGGACAGGAGTGTGGCAAAGCTGAAAGAAGACCTTAGCTACAAAAGAGGGATCCACGGATTCCGCTTTTCAGTTCCCCTTCTTCCTTCGGGGAGAAGTCTTCTGTGCTGTGCTTTGGTGAAGCCTTCCACTGTCCACTGTGCCCTTGCCCAGGCGGCTTCTCTGGTGTTATACTCCAGCATTCGGGGAGCAAGGAGTCTCACCAGTCAACTGAGGTCAAATCAGCACTGAGCAAAGCCACTGCAGGGAGAAGAGGAACAGGGTGGGTGGAGAAAAGGGAGCTCAGGGCTCTGGAACAGCTTTGCCCCCCTCTAAACAAAAACAAAAAAATCAACAAAAAAACACACAAACACACAAAACCTTCAGTATGTCCAAACAGCAGAGCCATGAAGGGTCACCTCTGTTCCCATGGGCTGTGCCCAGGGAAGTCGGGGGGATACTGACCCAGAAGCACGTGGATTCGTTAATGTGGGGAAAAAAACCACCTAAAATTACCTGGGGAACCAAGAGAGTAAGTGCCTTCCCCAGGGAGAGATGGCAGCAGCTCCTGGCACAACCTCAAGAGGGCACCCAGGGGAGACAGGCCGGGCACCTTCTGCACCTCCTTCATCAGCCAGCCGAGAAGGGGCTCTGAGGCCCCTAAAGGCTGTTTGGCACAAGCAGCAGAAGGAAAGAAAGGGGGGGAAGGTGGGGAGAGAGAGAGAGAAGACAGAGAGAGGAGGGAGAGGGAGGGAGGAGGGGGTTTCAGTAGAAAAACTAGGGAGAACAGGAACACGTCTCAACATTGTAAAAGCTGTCTATGCTAAAGCCCCAGGCCAACATCATTCTAAATGGAGAAAAATGGAAAACATTCCCTCTAAAAACCAGAACCAGACAGGGATGCCCTCTTTCACCACTGCTATTCAACATAGTTCTTGAAACACTGGCCGCAGCAATAAAGAAATTAAAGGGACACAGATTGGAAAAGAAGAACGCAAATGAGCACTATTTGCCTATGATAGGATTCTATACTTAGAAGACCCCCAAAATTCCACCAGAAAACTTCTAGAACTAGTAAATGAATTCAACAAAGTAGCAGGATATAAAATCAACACCCATACATCAAAAGCAACTCTGTATATCAGTGACAAGTCCTCTAAAAGGGAAATGAGGAAAACTACTTCATTTACAATAGCCTCAATAAAAAAATAAAATACTTGGGAATAAACCTAATGAAAGAGGTGAAAGACTTCTACAATGAAAGCTATAGAACACTAAAGAAAGAAATTAAAGAAGACCTGCAAAGATGAAAAGATCCCCTTTGTTCCTGGATAGATATAATATGGTCAAAATGACCCTACTACCAAAAGCACTATACAGATTTAATGCAATTCCAATCAAAATCCCAATGATATTCCTCATAGAGATAGATCTGGAAAAATAAGAGACCCAGAATAGCTAAAGCAATCCTTAGCAGGAAGAGTGAAGCAGGTGGCATCACTATACCAGACCTTAAACTATACTACAGAGCAATAGTAACAAAAACAGCATGGTATTGGCACCAAAACAGACTGGTAGACCAATGGACAGAATAGAGAACACAAGAGACCAACCAACAAAATCAGAGTTATGTTATAGCAGACAAAAGTGCCAAAAACATGCATTGGAGCAAAGATAGCCTCTTCAAAAATGGTGCTGGGGAAACTGGAAATCCACATGCAGCAAAATGATATTAAACCCCTATCTCTCATCATGCACAAAACTCAACTCAAAGTGGACCATGGGCCTAGGAATTAATCCAGAGACGCTGGGTCTAATAGAAGAAAAAGTAGGCCCTAGTCTTCATCATGTGGGATTAGGCCCCAACTTCCTTAACAAGCTCATATAGGACAAGAATTGAAATAAAAAATTCATAAATGGGATGGATCCAAACTAAAAAGCTTCTTCTCAGCAAAAGAAATGAGATGAATAGAGAACCAACATCTTGGAAGCAAATTTTCACCATACACACGAACAGAAGGTGCACACACACACCACACACACCACACACACACACATTCTTCATTTCCTTTAGTAAATATAGCACAATACCCCCCAAAACTCATCTCCAGTTGTGTGAAAAGAAGTCACATGACTGAACTGCAGAGCAGGAAGGCCCAGGTGCGACCCCCTTACAGACACACAGTGTTTGTTTATTTGTTGTACTGGGGAATAAACTCAGGGGCCCTCAACCACTGAGCCGCCTCCCCAGCCCTATTTTGGATTTTAGTTGGACACCGTGTCTCACTGGGTTGCTTAGCACCTTGCTTTTGCTGAGGCTGCTTTGAACCTGCAATTCTCCTGCTTCAGCTTCCCAAGTCAGTGGGATGCAGGCGTGTGCCAGCACATCTGGCTCCCAATTATTTTGAGACAGGGTCTTTCTAAATTACCGAGGCTGGTCTCCAAATTGCCATCCCTCTGCGTCAGCCTCCTGAGTCACTAGAAGTGGAGATGTGTCCTACCACACTCTGCAGGAAATGGATTTAACAAGATCACATGAACCCAATCTCCTTGTCAGAAACTCAGAAATGCATTGTGAGCATCTTGCAAATGATTCAGAGATAAATATAGGTACATAACAGTTTCTATCTAGAAAGAGGAGAATAGATAAAACAAGTTAATAAAAAAGTAACTTTGGGGGAATATTTCCTAGGGATTCTTTGCACTACTGTTACAAATCTTCCATAAATCCCAAATTGTCAAAATAGAACATTTTTGAAAGAAAAATGAATTTTTAAAACATCACCAAGTAACAGCATACTTGTTAATCATATCAGTTTTATTATGAGTGTTGTATTGTCGTTATCTAGCATGTTCTGACTTGTGGAAAATATTTAAAAATCATGAATGATGACACGTTAGCAATTCACTTTAAAATGCTTCAGTGGGCAAGAGTACTTTATACCAGAATCTGCAACTTCCGTGTTATTTTCCAAAATTGTATAATCAAAGAGAAAAGCCAAAAATCATTAAGCAAATGCTGTTTCTGATTAGATAAGTCAGTGCTTCAGATTAAAATTACAAAAATTTTACAAAGACTGTATGTGTGATGGTACTATAATAATTCTAACACAGTGACACATTAATGAATGGATTTCTCCCTGGAAACACACTCAGTCAACATAACCAGCATATCAAAATAGCATTGTCTAAATCTCTAGATCCACATTCAGTGACATATATTTTATAATATAAATAATTCATCATTAATGTGACATTTAGGATCCACCAAATTAGTGTTGATCATTTGGTTGTTCGAATGAAGCTTAAATGCTAGCATTTAGACAGTTTGAAAACACATATCTCAATAAAAACTGGTTTGCATTTGCACTTCAAATTTTCTTGTAGATGTACATAGTTTCTTATTTTGAGAATTTCATCATGTATATGATACACACATCCACTTCCATAGTTTTTAACATCATACATTTCATCAAACAATCCAAGTATTATATCAAGAGTCTTCACACAATATTAGCTTTCATATCATATTTTTTCTTAAAAATCTCTGTATATCCTTGTGATGTTTCCAAAAATAGATCTTGTCTTGGTTTATTAGTAATTCTTAAAGCAGAAGCTCCAGTGGATCAAGATTCGAATTCTGTAGCAAGTGGAGAGAGAAAAAGAATTACATTTTTGTCTCAAATATTTTATAAGCATCAATCAGTTAAAAAGTTGAGAACTTCTTGTTGTTCACAAGAATGAAAAATAGATATGTATGTCCATAATACAAAATCACTATGACAATCAATATGCCCATAGTGTTACCTATAGTTATCATGACGATCAGAGATCTGGGCTTCCCACCCCTTATTCATAAACCTGACACCATATGCTAGGGTACTCTGGCAAGCACTGGGATGGCAAGATGGAGATGATAATGGACACCTCTCAACAGTCATGTATTATAGATTAAAAAGCAGGCAAGCAGGCAGTTGACATACAGATTCCTTGGCATTATGACAGGTATAAAACAGGATCCTATGGGGACACTGAGAAGGGACTTCTTTCCCAAATTTGTGTCAGTTCTGGAGGTCCTTTATTAGAGGTTATACATGAGTTGACCCCTGAAGGATGAGGAGAAATTGTGTGTGAGAGAGAGAAGAGGTACATGCAGACAATGAGAGGAGGAAGAACACTCGTAGAATCACCAGTGGTCCAGTGTCACTAGAAGTTAGAGTGCAGTGACAATATAGCAAGTGAGAAGAGAGAAGGTTTGGAATAACTTGACAAGAATCCAGTTGATTTGAGTATTTTAATTTCTTGCTAATCAGGAACATACCTCAATATTTTAAAGGCCATCTATGCTAAGCCCTAAACGGAGAAAAATTGAAGGCATTCCCTCTAAAAACTGGAACAAGACAGGGATGCCCTCTTTCACCACTTCTATTCAACATAGTTCTTGAATCTCTAGCCAGAGCAATTAGACCAATGAAAGAAATTAAAGGGATACATAGAGGAAAAGAAGAACTCAAATTATCACTATTCACAGACAATATGATTCTATACCTAGAAGGCCCATAACATTTCACCAAAAATCTCCTAGAATTAAAAAATGAGTTCAGCGAAGTAGCAGGATATAAAATCAACACCCATAAATCAAAGGCATTTCTGTATATCAGTGACAAGTCCTCTGAGAAGGAAATGAGAAACACTACCCCATTTACAACATCCTCAAAAGAACAACCAAAAAAAAAAAAAAAAGAAAGAAAAAACAAACAAACTTGGGAATCAACTTAATAAAAGAGGTGAAAGATTTACACAATGAAAACTACAGAACCCTAAAGAAGGAAATCAAAGAAGACCGTAGAAGATGGAAAGATCTACCTTGCTCTTGGATAGGCAGAATTAAAATTTTCAAACTGACCATACTACCAAAAGCATTATTCGGATTTAATGCAATTCTGATCAAAATCCTAACCCTTAAATATAGGCAACTAGAAAATAATAGTAAAGCTACAAAGATTTATTATTCAGTGAACCAATTCAGGTGCCAGAATGTGCCCAGGGTGTCGTGATAGCAATATTGTACACATAGGGCTGAAGTTATAAGAGTCCAATAAACCAGATTACATACAGGAGAACACCAAGGGAAGTTAGTTTGATAGTTTGCTTCCAGATGTAAAATGCAAAGGTGGGTGAAAGATAAACTTCCTGGGCTGATATTTCAAAAGTACATTCATTTCCCAATATTACTTCCACAAGTTAGATGGTCTAGTTAGCTTTTGCATGCTACTGATCTCAAAGTTATGCAGTAGAGACAAATTAAGGAGATTAAGTTGCTCTTTCAGTCTAGGTTTTGACGTACTTGTGGAACTTGGATTCATCTATATGGAAGTGTCTATATTTTTCTAGTTGTATTTCTTAGTTTTCAGTTCAGATTCCAGATTGCTAATTCTGAGCTCCATCTGAGTTTTTATTGAAGCAGAACCAGTCTGTCTTAACTGTTCTGAAACTGCCGGAGCTGCTGCCTGGGTCTAAAGAAAATTAAAAGAATATATCTTTAAAACAATTTATAACCCAAATAATTATTATATATTTATTTTGTTTAGTTCTGAGTCAAAAATTCAGACAGCAATTTTACATGTGTAGAAGATACTAGACTTTAAACTTTACTCATCAGTGCCAATTACATTAAACCTGAACTAAAAATAATCGAGTTCTTCCTCTCCACCTTACCTCCTCATCCCCTGCCCACCCCTCCTCCTCTCTATTGCAGATATAACCCAGGGCCTGGCACAGGCGAGGCAAGCTATGTACCATCCAACTGTTCTCTCAGCCAGGAATCATTCTCATGTTAGTACTCAGATCATCCGATAATTTAAAGAATGATAGAATCAGTTCAATATAAAAACTGAAAAATTTAACCTAACAATTCAAGTATGTTTTGTTTCTGCATCACATTTTTTCTTTTTCTCCTTGTAGTCTTATTTATGCCCACTATTATTAAATATCAAATGACTATCAGATGACAATCATTACTCAGATCAAGTTAGTTATGATGTCAACTGAGGTATTTGAAGAGGGCATCAAACGTCTTCTTCCTCTTAGAAATCTACAAAACAACTTTGCTCCATGATAGAGGATACACATATAACGAATATATCCAAAATACAATTTACAGGGAAGTGAGTTACAGCACATTACAGATAAATGATAAGATAGCCTGTAAAACCACAAGTACTTGTTTTTGCTTCTCGTCTAAACCGCATCTTGCTGGTTGTTCAGTGCCTCCTTCCACTGGAGTGCCCTGTGTGTGCCTTGGGAAGTTTACTACATCTTCTTCCAGCTTCTTCTGATTCTTGTCTATTGTTTCAAATCTATCTTGGATACTTTTTAGAGAAAACAAGTTCTGCAAAAAACACTGGTAGTTTGCTTCCAGACGTAAATGTTTTGAAGATGCACTGTCCATCTTTGTAGTAAGATCATTTATCTGCATGAATAAAAAACACATTATCAAAATAAGATGCTGAAAATATTTGACACAAACTCAACAAATTTTACTTAAGTTCAATTGCAACAAAACAATCTATACCAGCATTGTGAGCAGTAGATTAAATTTCTATAATAGGATATATTAGCTTCTCAGTTGGTTGAGGATTACAGATCTATAAATCCCTATCCTGGCTACACAATGTTGGGGGAAACCTAGATTTTTTTCCCCATGCTGACAAAAGTGTGAGCATTCCACAGATAAACTCACTATTGGATTAAGTAAATTTAATTTTGTATTTAATCAATGAAATATAGTTAGAATAAAAGTCTTGACAGGTCAACCTATTAACAAAACTTATTGGTATGAAATAAAGTCGTAACTTTGTGAAAACAACTGTTAGGCAAATATATTTTCCATTTATTCCAGAACAGGTGTGAATATCAGATATTACTGTCACCTTGAGTGGGTTTATATTTCTACAAGATAATCACTATGCAAACAATGTTGGTGACAGAAAAGTCAGAAAGTGCAAGAAAAATTTATTTTTATGTGAGCTCTGAGTAAAAGAGACCAAATGAACAAAAATGGACAAGACAGAAAGCACAGTATGAGCAAGACAGAGACATGATGAAATCAGCACAATTTTTGAAGACTACCAAGAGGCAGGGGAATAAGAGCATGTCCACATGTTAACTTGTAAATACATGTTCCCAGCCATGTAGTACTGGTGTAGTCAAGAAGTGGAAGCATTTTAGGGTTCACTGATGATTGGCTAAGTGACATAGTCATAAAATAGAATTCTACTGGACAACAGAAAGAAATAAAGTAGTGATGCTTGCTACAACACAGAGGATCCCTCTAAACACTATTCTAAGTCAAAGAAACTGGTTATAAAAAAGACCTGGTGTTGTATAAATCTACTTGTATGAACTATCCATTATGGAGTAATTTTAGAGTTAAAACTATAAACCAGTTTCCTCAACAAAATTCCCAATGTGCAAGAAGTAAAATCAGGAATCAGTAAATGGGGGCTGATAGTTCAGTGGTAGAGTGCTTGCCTAGCATCAAGAGCCACTGGGTTTGATCCTCAAATAAAAATAAAGATATTGTGTCCATCTACAACTACAAAAGAGTTCTTAAAAGGATCCATAAATGGGTTGGTATCAAACTAAAAAGCTTCTTCACAGCCAAGAAAACCATTAAGAATATGAACAGAGCCTACAGATTGGAGAAAGTCTTTTCCACATGCACCTCAGATAGGGCATTAATCTGCAGGATATACAAATGATTTAAAATATTTAAAAACAAAACAAAAAACCCCAATAATCCAATCAATAAATGGACAAAGGAACTGACAGACACTTCACAGAAGAACATTGGCAAATGGTCCACAAATATATGGAAAAAAAAAAGGTTCAACATCTCTAACAATCTGAGAAATGCAAATAAAACTGCACTGAGATTCCCTCTCTCTCTGGTCAGAATGGCAATTATCAAGAATACAAATAATGATAAATCTTGGCGAGTGTGTGGGGAAAAGGTTCACTCTCACATTGCTGCTGTGACTGCAAATTGATGCAATCACTCTGGAAAGCAGTATGGAGAGTCCTCAGAAAATTTGGAAGGGAACCATTTGACCCAGTTTTTCTGCTCCTTGGTATATATCCAAAGGACTATCGTGACAGCAATATCAATGTTTATAGCAGCTCAGTTCACAATGGCTAAGCTATGGAACCAATCTAGGTGTCCTCCAACAGATGAATGGATAAAGAAAATGTGTTATATATACATGGAATATTCCTCAGCTGTGAAGAATGAAATTATAGCATTTGCCAGTAGTAAATGAATGAATCTGGAGACTATCATACTAAGTGAAATAAGGCGATTCAAAGGTTGAAAGTTCTGTCTCATAAGTGGATGCTAACACACAGTAAGGGGTGGGGAGGAAAGAATAGAAGTTCATTGGGTTAGACAAAAGGGAAATAGGAAAAGGGTAATAGGAAAGACAGTCAAATGAATCTGACACAACTTTCCTATTTATATACGAATCCACGACCAGTATAACGCCACATTGTGTACAAACATGAGAATATGAAGTTATACTCCATGTATGTGTATGTTGAAATACAGTCTACTGTCATGTATATCTAAAAAGAACAAAAACTTAAAATATATATATATAAATTACTATTGTTTACAATTATGAATTATTAAAAAATATATTGGTTTTCTAGGGCTTGGGAAGATGGAGGGATTAGACCACTGACAGCTAAAGGGTTCCAGGCTTCTTTTCAAGAACATGAAAATGTTTTAAAATTGACTATAAGTGGTAACATAACTCTGATAATCCACAAAGAAAACACTGAAGTTTACATGTTAAATGGGTGGATTAGATGGCATGTGTATTACATATATCATAAAAATTTCTTTTCAGAAATCTACTGAAAGAACCTAGATAACATTTTTCCATTGTCTAGCTTAGTATCAGTACCAGACATAATACAAATATTTATATGCTTTCATAACGTACCTAAAATGAAAGAAAAAATAAGAGAAAAGCCTAGGTTTTCCAATAATTAAAAAATAGCCTATACCATACATGTATTTTCAGAAAAGCATAAAAGCTTTTTTTGTACACTTTTAAAAAATCCATTTAATAATTACATGCAGATTGTGTATACATGAACAAAAATGAAGGTAATAAATGACACAATCCCTTGAAACATTCTATTAAATGGTACCTCTGGTTTAATTTTCCTTGAATCACCATGGAAATCGAGATAGCATTAAAAGGTGCTGGGTTTATAAAAAAAAAGTCTCAGCTTTCCTCAGGGTAGATATTTTAATGAAAGATGTATGACATTGTAAGAGAAAAATTCCACAATAAAAAGTGTAAAGATCACAAAATATAAAATCAATTATAATGAAAATACAAAGAAAGCTATTCATTGAAATGAGTGTACTGGAACATTTTTATTACTTAAGCAGGTGTAGATTTACAGTTGACATGTTCACTTTTGTACATACTTGACTTGTCATGTGTCTTAGTGTCTTCTTTAAATCTCGTCTTTTGTCTTTTAAATTTGTGTGAAAATGTGGTAAATCTTCTGGTGAAGCAGATGGTAATTTCAGGATACCAGCCGGTTGTTTTTCAAGATGCCTCACAACTACCTGATGAGATATTTCTGTTAATGATTTTGTTACTCAGCTCACTTTAAAATATATTAATAATATTTTATAATGTTTACTCTGAAAACAATCTCTACATACACATATTCATGCCATTTTTCACATGTGTGTACACTCCTGTTTATTTCTGAATTCCCTGAAGGAAACAGAAGGTTCTATACTCCTGCCTAATCACTGTCACATTCTTTAGCAACAGGGTCAAGCCCTTTCTATGTGCTGCCCTTGATAAGGTTGCAATGCTCAACAACCCACTGAATTCTCAATCAGAAATGGTTATGCAAGTCTCACTGGTGGTGGTCAATTCTACAGAGGTTATTACCCCTCTTATTAGAGGCTCAAATTAATCCCCAAATCCTCACATCTTCAAACCTTTGCTGAAATAATTCCAATATATTTCCATGAGGAATAAAAGAGACCCCAGGTAACCTGCTCTCCACCTAGTGCCTGTCCTCAGCTTCTAGAAATCTCACTGGTCCTCACACCACTCCTGCTGTACGTAAATCCTGCCGCCTCATTAGTCTGGAAATGGGGGTTCAGTGCCAAATTAATGAACTGTAGACGGCTACAATTATCTTTGTACTGAAAGACTATTTCACATAAGCAATTGGGCCTTGAAATGAAAAAAACTATGAGCAAGTTTTATCATGGATCTATGCAATAAATTACAGATTAAATCCACTGTTTTTGCTGCAGTTCATCACATTTGTCCCAACTTATGATAATGACAAACACACTTTTTTAAAGAGGTGGAGAGGTCACGAATAAAGAAAAAAAATATCAGGACAGCTATTTTTCAGATTTAAGTTGATTGGCATGACTAAAAATAAACTTACCAACTAGAAAGATATAAAAATATAGTGAAGAAAATCTATTAAAAAACACAGCACCTACATTTCAGTTCAGCTGGAAAATCTGGAATGAACCGTCAAAGTAATTAACTCAGTTGAAACTAGGTATGAGCATTTCCATTTATCTGCTTCATTGTGGTTTTAAAGTATGGCAACATGAAGACATTAAAATTGTTATTCCGTGATGGGATGCAGCTCATTGGTAGAGTGTGTGTTTTAGCATGAGCAGAGCTCTGGATTCAATTAACAGCACCAAAATCAGACACTGTTTCAGCATTATTGAGACAGTATTACTAATGTCATCATATACATCTACTAAGTCTGTGTCTCAATCTCTCAAATCTTTATAAGAAACACAATTTCTTAAATTGAGGAATCTGTCATGTCCAAGTTTTAAAATTGCCTCCTTTTCAAATATTAAAATCCATTTTATCTAAGTTTTTTTGTGTGTTTATTTGGCATATGACTACCTAAGTTATTTTAAAATACACACACACAGCATGTAAGAATTAGAGCAGGGAATTGGAAGATGTATCACTTCAAACACAGATCATTTATTTAAGCTGGGAATGAGGTGTAAGTTATATTTGCTGGAACTCAGGTTGTACTTCTGTGTTGATAACAGAAAACACATTTATAATATATGAATTTTTATATTCATCAAGATTCAACATTTAGCCATAAGCAAATATCAGTTCATGTATTCCTTCCAAGACCCTTTTTACTTACTACTTCTTTCTCCTTTCCATAATGATCCAATTGTTCTTTTAAATGATTAGTTTCACTGGTTAATTCCATATATTCATTTTCCAGCATGAGATAATGTTTGTCATTCTGAGCTTGAATTCTTTTTATAATATCCTGAAATTGGCTTTGGATATTAATAATTTCATCTTTTTTATCATTAGCTTTGTTCTGATAGTCATGCAATTGGTCTTGAAGCAATGCAGTTTCACTCTGTAGTTTAGACACCTTCTCTCTAGAAGCTTCCTGCTTTCTGAGTTGTGCATTCCTCTTTCTTTGTTCATTTTGATGCCCGTGTTCCATCCCCTTCAGTTGGCACTGTCTTTGTTTTAGTTGTCTGTTTACCTGTTGTGTAGCCAAAGTCATGACTCTGAGAGTACCTCTTGTCTTACGCAGCTCGTTTTCTAGGTCACTAGTTTGTATTTTGGACTTTGGAGCCTGTTGGGAAGGAATCTCACTACTAACTTCGAGGTTAATTACATCAATATTCTTTTCTTCCTGTGAACTAAAGTCTTTATCTCTGGCTCTCTGGAAAGCAAGTTCTAGATTTCTTTTTGGAGTTGGACTGTCACCCTGATGGTGTGGAGCAGCACTAGGTCTGGCAGGATGCGATGTGACTTTTGTTTCTGGTCTTTCTGTTCTCTGTTTTTCACTCTCCGGTGTGCAGTTTTGCAGTGTCCTCTCAGCTTTCCAAATATCCAACTGTTCATTATCCTGGAATGTTTTTGCAAGTGTTTTCTCATTCAGTTTGACTGTCTTTGGAAGGTCAACATCCTTTTCTGTTAAAATTTCAGTATTCTTAAGGCACTTCTTTTCCTGGTTCTGATATTTTATTGGGTCCGTTCTCAGTCTCCTCATAGAGATTTCATCCTTCGTCTTGTGATTTTTATGCAATGGCTTGTTGTCTGACTCATCTCTAGTAGGAATCTAAGTAAAAGCAAAGAGAGACATTTTGCTACGATTCAATAAAATGACATTTTATAATTTCCTCTAAAATTAAAGAATAACCTATACATTTATATGGTGAAAAGGTTTCAATAGATACTCCACTGAAGAAAAATTAGATGTAAACTTCTGAGCTTATAGAAACATAAATTCCCAAAAGTTCAAAAAATTAATCCAAGAAAATGGATCTATGAGAGTAAAAGGAAATTTCAATTTAAAGAATGTCAGAATTGCCAGGTGCAATGGCACATGCCTATAATCCCAGTGGCTCAGGAAGAGCCAGGAGGAT